ACTTCTAACTGAAAAGTTATTGAAATCGGCTAAATTACATCTTGAGGATTTTAGTTTTTGTGAAGTGCATATCAGTTAAATAGGAACTCGACATTTATAGAAGATGCAATGTTTTTTTATTTCAAACATTTTCATGACTTATTGCACGTGATGGTAAAAACCAAAAAAAAAAAGGAAAAAAACGTTTTTCGCAGCTTTGATTTATATATCTTTGACTTTCATTGTCTTTGTTGCTGCCGCAACTGTTGATTGATAGGAATGAATATTATTAAGATAGAACTACAAAATCTCATTGGTGATATGTTTTTAAATGATTGTCTTATTTATTTTATCAAAAAATATATATGAAGATGTAACCAATAAAACTACAATAAAATGGAGTAGCAAACTTTTGCTCTATTCTCTTAGGTTTAATTGATTATGATGTTGCATTTTGCCTTTGCAACTGTAATTAAATTTATCATTCTTGGCATCACCATCAACACTCTTATTCATTGTAACTTCACCCTCAACTTTCGTGGAGGAACGCTTCCTAAAGGAACAACATATCTACCACATATTCATATTTTATATGCATATTATGGAAATTATTTGTCTACCATCCAAATTCAAACATAGATTCACTTTTAAATGGTTGGCGAATAAGACTAAGATATGCATGACAGCCCAAAAACGAACTTTATTATATTATTGAAATCCTATTATATGTGTATAGACTCGCCAATTAAATTTTTATAATATCATTAATATATTATATTAGAAAACTAGGATAAGATCCGCGCCTTTTGCGGGACGAACTTAAAATTACAATGTAAAATTAAAAAAGATTTCAATTAATAGTGTCTAACTAATAAAAGTTATAAAAGTAATAAAATAACATTAAAAATGCATTATAAAGAATGAAAAGGAAATGGTTTAATAGTAAAATAAGTGTAGTCATATTCATATATTTTACACTGAGCTCTACATTGTTATGGGCATTTTAATAATTTGTTTATGATATAAACAGTGATAAACATTTTCTGTTTTCTAAAAGAAAATTGTTTTGGGCTGGATATATAGTTAAAGACCCATAAGTACATATTCATCCAATAATCAGGTCCTGTAAAATTATTGCAATTGTGTTAATCTTAGCCTATTTTGTTAAAATCAAAAAGTAGAAGTTTTTTTTGAATATACATCTGATGTAAGTAAAAATAACAAAAGGGGATTAGGGTTCAAACCCGATGCTTTTAAAAAAAAAAATACAATCGATGAAGTTCATTTGCTGTAAACCCAGGTAATTATTACAATCTTCTTTTCAGTTTGATATCCGTTTCACAGCGTTTGAATGAGTTGTGAGGATTATCATTCTGATTTATCTATCTTCATTCCCTAATATGTACCGTGACTCTCTTCTTTTTAGTTTTGTTAGGAAAGCAATCGAAATAAAGCTAATCAACACCCTTTCAATATAATCAGACATGTATAGGAACAGATCGAAGGTGTCCATCGCAAATATTTAAGATACTCAGGTTCAACACACGATACTGGAAAAAACTAAATACATATCTTTATTTGCTTCTCTTTGAAAATAAGAAAGTTGATAACATCTACTTTTGACAGTTCTTGAAATATGTTCAAATTCAGTCAGCCGGGTGTTCTGAAAAAAGGATTTATGGGGACAGACCAACAAAAGAAGATTATTTTCGGCCCAGCCACTTGCTTACAATCTTTAAATTGGCAACAAATCTTCATGCACACTTAACATGGTTAGTATCAAAACTTTTAAGAATTATGTTAATGTTTGGACTGATAGAAGTTTAGATCGTTTAGATGGTTAAGATAATATAACTTAATTTTCAAAATTAAACTAAACATAATGAGAATTATAAAATATGAAAGCAGCAAAATATAAGTAAACGACTAAAAAATAATATCAAAACTTTTACCAAAAAAATTAATATTAAAACGACATAAGTATATGATTTTCTTCTTCAGTACGCATTGTATAAAATGGTATATAAAAAAAGACTGCTAGATTGAAATTGAGTAGACAAATTGTATTACTTCATTATGAAAATCTGTATTTCTAGAACATCATCAGGCTCAAACAAAATTTTGAAAAAACCCAATATTATGTAAAAATTTGAGCAACTGCTCCAAATGCTACACACTTGTACATACAAGTTAGTAGTGTAAATAAGAAGATTTTAGCACATATAGAAGTTTATTGAAAACCAAATTATTATTTTAGAAATTGGGAAAACATAAAAGTAAAAACATTATGAGAATATTTATAAAAGCGACTTATATTATCTAAAGTAATAACCAATATACTGTAATTACACGCTTACTTTGGAATCGACCAACACCATTTCAATTCTCTCCCACAACACCAAAATATTTTGCAGAGATGAATCACTTTCACTCTTATTTCCAATATTAATTTGAAGCCTCGTTAACAAAATCAAAACCAGCCATTTCAATCGGAAGAAAGTCAAAAACTTAAACAGAGGTAAGTGTATTACAAAGAGATGGTAGGTTATAAGCATTCCCGTGTTTGTATTTATAAAGAACTAATGTTTACGTTATTAATGCAGTAGGTTTTATAAGGAATAATAATATATGTAATTAAATGTTTTTGAAATAATTGGCTGTCCACATTGAATTATTTGCAAATGTTAGGCAAATAACTGTACCCATAAATTTACATAGAGCATTTTAAGTCCGTAATTTTCGTAGATAAATCATTGCATTGACTATAAAATTTACGTGGTGACAAAGCTGAATTTAAAGATTATGTTTTTTTTATCAAAAATTTAAAGATTGTGTTTTTTTTTCCTTGTTACGTTGATCGCTTCCAAATTCCCATCTTTAACAAATTTATTTTATTTTCCTAATTTTGTTGGTAAATCTTTTTATTGTAACTCAAAGTAATAGGGTTCACCAAGTACGGAATTTTAAATATTGTCTTTATGATTGTTCAAAGTTTCCAAATTTTGAGTTGTTTCTTTCTCTTTTGATATTATAGGGATATAAATTTATGCTTTTGTTTTTAATTTAAATGTCCGTAATAAATCTTGATTTGTTTGACTTGAAAGTACCCATGGAAAATACAGTTCTGTACCATTCGAAAATGAACTTGGAAATAGAGAAAATTAAACGAAAACAATCCATATGAATAGTCAATATTGCAATGATCGGGAATGAAGTTCACCTTTTAGAAGTTGCATACGTCCACTATGTTTAGGACGTGTCTCGTAAGATAATGAAAACACATGAGCACTTTATGATCACTTTATATTGCAAGTTCCTTGAGGACACTTTTTTATGATAAACTGGCTGATATTGATTACCCATATTCAAGTAAATGTGGCTATTGTCATATCTTTGCTAGAAGAATTCGTAACTTATCTTGTTCAACAATTCATAATTTACACAACATTCATCAGTGCTTCAGTAGCCATATTTAAATTATGAATTTAGAACTTCCTATTGTTTGAGTATATGTTCAACTCGACCAATTTACCTGAACCATTCATATGCAGGTTATATAACGTCCAAAGAAGTAATGGATTTTAAAGTCGTACTCGTAGAACTGCTGTCATGGTAAATTTCTCTTGTAGAAATATAGGTTTCCAATCCCATGTGAAAGAGCACACTGGAGTTAACACAAAACTATATAATATACCCATCTATTAGTATCACTGCCATTTATATTTGAAGTTAGTCCAATGGCATTGTTAGTAATTACTTTAGATATGAATGAGTATATTTAAAATGGAGTTGAGGAGAGTTATCATTATGACACATCAGCAAAATGGCATACTTGTAAATATATTACATTTTGAAGGTTACTTTTAATAATTGCTTCTCTATCTTTTATACTATAAAACACAAGTCAACCGACAATTTTGTGAGTGACAAGTGGCATTTTTGAAAAGTTAAAAAAAAAATTTCTTGCAGTTTTTTTTGAAAGATTTCGTTGGATAAAAATGTCTTCAATTTGTTTCTTTTTCATATATTATATTTTTCAGTTTTCTCAACAAAATTACTCTTCCACTAACTATCTTCTTCCACTATCTCCATTTTTATGCATTTAAATCTCTTATTTACTCCAACTTTAATAGAGTAAATAAAAAACTGTAAACTATTTGTCTCAAATAAAATTCAGAGTACCCCAAACATTTAAAAAAGAAATAAAATCTCAATACTGCTGGATAAAGAAGTAGAACGAGAATACGCCAACTCAAAGTCCAACAGTCATGGCGTTCAACTGTGTAAAGCTCCGTCAAATATTTTTGTCTATCAATACGTTCAAGTTCATCCATCAAAAGGTTTGTATCTCTATATTCATCCAAATTTATGGTAATCAATGTTCCTCATAAAATTTCAGTTTTATGAATTAAGATTCGTAGCTTAAGAATTCAACAAAATTTGCAAGTTATTTGGTAAACTGTAAAGAAAAAACCATACAAGGTAGTCGTTTTTTCCTAACATGTTTGAAAGAAACAATTTCAAATTTATTCATTTGGAGATCTTTAAATTAATCTTCTTTTTTTTTTGTCTGAGCAAAATAAGACACTTTCACGCATTGCCTAACACACCAACACTCATGACCTCACCATCAGAAACAGGTTATGATTTCATACGATGAGAAAATATAAGGAACCCAAAATATAATTATTTTTCTTTTCACATTACATCCGTGAGTATTTGAACATTTGAAAATACATTATTGCTGTTATGTTGAGAATGCAAGAATATGGTTTTAT